TTCTCTCCGGATCCGAGAAATGGCGAGCTTGCAACAGCTTTGAGTGACGCTATTTCTCATGAAGATGACGAGCTCCAAAGCAAGGTTGTGGACGACATATCAAGGCACTTGGCCGCGTCCGTGTCTTCTCTCAAGGAGGAACTCTTGGAAGACAAAAGACAGCTCGAAGTAGACGGCAGGGTCGAAGAGCTATCGGAGCTAGAGAAGCTGGTGCAGCTTCTGGACAGCGCCCCTTCTCTTGAATCGGATTCTCTAGCTCTGGACGATAGTTTTGTTTCGGAGGACATTCCAGCGTCGTATCTGTGCCCGATCACTGGCCAGCTGATGAGAGAGCCTGTGCTGGTGGAAGGCGGTGTCACGTACGAGAAGTCGGCTATAATGGAGTGGATCAACCGGGGAAATACCAAGTGTCCCGTTACAAATGCCGACTTGAGTAGCGTCAACCTTGTCCGGAACAGGTCGATAGAGAACGCGATCCGGCAGTATCTGGGGCGTGTGAACATCGATAAATTGACTCGGTCGATCAAGAAGATCAAGCTCGAGCGCGTCCACGTTGAGGAAACCTTGGACACCATAAAGAATCTGATCGGGCTTGGCTCTTGCTTTAAGAGGCATGTAGTTGCTTTGGACGGGTTGGAGCCGCTGGTTGCGATACTCAAGAGCTCTGCTGGAGACCAGAGGGCTAAGATACTTCAGATTTTATTAGCCATTGGAGAATCTGGAGATGACTGCAAGGTAAGGCTCGCGCTCTTGGTCGTGATCACAATACTGCTGCTAATGACAGAACTTCCTTGAAGATACATATCGCTGAAGTTGGAGCTGTTCCCGTGGTGCTGCGAATCCTGACGAAGTGTCATGGTGACTGCCCCGATGCTGTGAGTCTCCTTCGGGAGATTTCCGAAGTGCAACAAGGGAAGGAGGTGATTCTTGCACAGCCAGGGTCCATCATTGTTATTGCAAGTGCGGCCACTGTCGACTCGGTGGAGCAGAAAGATCATGCCATGAAGCTTTTGGAGAACTTGTGCTCGAACAAGTCATGGGTGGCCATTGAAGCAGCTTCAACGGGAGTATTTGATTTTCTGATCAATAATCTTCACACAGGTATGTAAGAGAGGAAAACACCTTTATTTATTTGATGTTGATCTTGATTGTGTGCAGGAAATGAAGCTGTAAAGCTGGAGATGGCTGAGGCAATTGCAACGAAGCTCGAGTTTAACGACGCTAGCAGTGCAGCTCTTGTATCGACAGGTATCCTGGTTCCACTCGTAGAGATGCTGAAGTCTGAATCGCTCGACAGCAAAATGGCAGCTACAAGATGTATACAGAAACTTTCATCTACAGTGACGAACAGAGACGCTATCGGAGATGCTGGTGCAATCCCTTTAATAGCTGGTTTGGCGACAATGGCAGTGAGGGACTTGAAAGTATATGCCTTGGAGACTTTGGCAAACCTCGCAAGCACACGAGAGTGTGTGCCAGCTCTGGCTACCGAAGAGAACGTCCCTCGACTCTTAGAAATGGTGAAAGACGGGGATTTACAGGTTCAGAGCAGCATTCTCAAGATTCTACATTCGCTATCAAGGGAGAGCAAAACTGTCCGGTTAATGGTTCGTCAGCATGCAGAAGTTATCCGGTACTTGCTGGATGCGTCCTCCGAACACAACTCTGGCCCAAGAAGAACTAGCGTCCTTGGAGTCATTGTCCAGCTCGCAGCAGACAGAGACACGAGAGATGCCATTCAGCCTTCCTCAAGCACAGTGATGTCCTTTGTGAGGCTGTTGGATCAAGCAGCAGCTACGTCGACTGAAGACAAAGAGCTGGCACTGGGAATACTTTCCGGGATCACAAAGAACGGATCACAAGCCAGACAGGTGCTAGCGGCTGGGGGCGCTTACGGGATCATTATCAGCTGCATGCAAACGGGAAGTCCAAGGATGAAAGAGGAGGCGGCTGCGGTTCTAACAAGGCTAACGGATTCGGTGCTCGACGCCAACTCCGAGCAGGAACTGGCAAGACTCGGCGTGATGCGTCTCCTGCGAGACACTTTGGAGACTGGATCAGAGCGGGCGAGGGAGCACGCGTGTGCCAACCTCGCCAACTTATCCAAGCGGACACCGTCGTTAACCCAGGAGCAATCGTTTTTCAAGCGGCTTCTAGCGAGGCTGGGACTGAAGCAGTACAGGTTGTGTGTGGTTCATCCAGGAAAGTGCAACGCAAGGGCGAGCTTTTGCATGGTGGAAGCTGGGGTGGTGCCGTTGCTCATAGGAGAGATCCGCGGTAGCAATGCCCGCAATGCGGAGAGAGGGATGGATGCGCTGCTCACGCTGGTGCAAGACGAGAGTTTCCGGATCAAAGGAGTGGATTTCCTGGTGAAGAACAACGCGATAGCGGCAGCGGTGAGCTTGGTTGGGAGGTCCAGCAGCCTGACGGAGAAGGCCATGGTACTCCTCGAGAGGATTTTCAAGTGCCGGAAGTACAGGGACGACACGTACTCGAGGATAGCAAAGTCGAGCCTCTCCACGACAATGACTTCGGGTTCCATAGGTGCGAGGAAGTCGGCTGCGAAAGCCTTGATGCACTTGGGCATGATGGCCAAAGGCTCTACGTACACGGCCACAGGGGAGTCGGCCACTGTTAACTGATTCAAGTATGAGCGACGTAAATATATGCAAAGACGAGATATATATCTCAGGCAATTGTGCCTGAGATCGAAGAGTCCATGGCTGACCCTTGCGTGGTGCTCTCCATTACGATGGAGATCCACTGCATTTTGTGGGCTAAGTTATTGTTCATAATTACATTTGATTTTCAAACTATTATTATGAACTTTCAGGGTGGATGATTGGGATAAGTTGTCTATATTATTTCTAAATAGTATTTATTGAAATATGCTAAAAAGTTGTTCCTAAACATTATGAACCAGAGTAAAAAGCTGATTGTTACTTTCATACTTGCTATAATGTTTTTAGTTTGCTTAAGCAAACTTGTAGGATGGTAATGAATATATTTAGAATATGCTTGAATATTTTAGGATATTCTACCATCTAATTCATTTAGATTAATCTTGTATTTATAATTTATAAACATGTTTATAATTTATAAAATTTCTTAAAACATGCTTATAGTTATAAACTTTATTTGATCAATTAAATTAATAAGTAAGAATAACATTACTATTAAGAAAACCAAGCATTGCTACATGCAATGTGTAGCAATTTATTTATTTTGCTGTATGGGAAAATAGTGAGTGAAACTCTTATCAAGAAGAATGTCTATTAAATTCAAATATTTTCCGGGTATTAGAAGTCTAAGTTATTACTATAGCCTCTAATAAAGAAGTAAAACAGAAAGAATTATCTCTATTATTCATTTCTCAATCCATTGATTTCTCAGTGCTTTGATCCCCATTAGTGATCAACATAAACTAATCGTGCTTAGAAGTAATATTTTGCTTTATTAAATATTCAGAAGAACTCAGCAAGATACTGCATGGGGAGTCACCACCTGCTTGTGGAGCTCGGATGCAGAAAAACAACCACCAATTTCATGGGACCAACAGATCTGCCCAGTCTGCTGGGAAGAGGTAGATCCTCAAAGCTTGTTCAACATATCACAATCTACATCACCCCATGAGGCACTCTGGGAGCATTAAATCTTGCAAGCAATACATTAAATTAGTGAACTTGTCCAATTTTTCACATGAATAGAGATACACCAACAAACGATTATCATAGAGAGAATGCACAGACTAAAACTGGACAAGTTCGCTAATGTATTGTATTGCTTGCAAGAATCTATTTGCTTTCAATGGGTATTTGTGTTTCTTTGCTTTTCTATCTGTTGCTACACTTGGTGTTCTAATGACTGTAACTAATCTTGCTCACATGCCCGACTAGCTTTGATCTTTTTTTTTCTCTCTTTTTCACTGATTAACTTTTTCTTTCCGGTTCTGCTAATGAATTGATTGACATTAGTCTTTACAAACAATTACAAACAATAGCAAACAATAAAAAGGAAACAGTAATAAACAAAACAAATGGCCCCAAAGGTGGGAGCACCCAATCAATAGAAACAAACAGGGGAAAGGTGGCGCAAACAAACAGGAGACAACTCAATGACAACATAACAGAACTCACTGACCATACGGAGGAGATGGAGGAATGTGAACGCAGAAATGGCCGAAGCGAGAACAACCCCCACAACAAACTTGTAAACTTGTTTCCACAGTCCCGTGCTCTTTGTTGGGCACCGCAAAACTGCCAAAACATAATATAGACGAGTACTTGCCCAGCAAATGCTGGGTGGTTTACAAAGAGGTGGATGCGCCAGAAATATGTTTCTTACCTGAACTCAAGCACTTGTATGTATCTTTCTCATTTTCTTGGAGGTTTTTGGACCTGTTGTCCTTCAGGTTACTGGACAATAATGGCTTCTCTGGAGAAGTTCCCGATGAAATTGGAAACTTTTCCAAGCTGACCATCATGTAAGCTGTTGATGGCTAGAATACAATCTCGTGTAATAGTGTATTTTCAGGAGACTTGACAAAAATCGATTTGCTGGATCACTGCTGAGCAGTTTGGGGCGGATATCAACCCTCTTTGAAATTTAAATAGCTAATATGGTAACTACTTTGTACTCAAGTTTTGTTTCATTTACAGACACATCAATGATAACGCTTTTACTGGAACGTTACCTGATCTAAGCGGGTTGAGAGCTCTCCAACTAATGTAATATTTCTTCTTAATTTGGAGTTGACCTGATGCATGTGTGTATGCATAACAGAAGCGTTGGAAACAACTCCTTTTCTCCTCAGCCAGTTCCATCATTTGCAGGCTTGATTAAACTCTGGACAATGTAGGTGAATTTTGTTAGTTTTTGTTTGAACTTAACATGTCATTAATGATCCAAGTTTCTTTTCAGACCAAACTTGGAAACAATGGGATGAGAGAGGCTCAAACTCTCGACCTCAGGATTTCTCAGCAGCTATGAGACCTACGCGCTGACCAACTGCGCCACCATTTATTTTAACATGATCATTCTAAACAAATTTATCTTAGGATTGATTCTGGAATGCTGACTATAATGTCATACATCTATCCACGAACTACAGTTTTATCCATGGGCTACTGCAACAAACCGATTGATGCCAGCTTTCCCATCCTTTCCCAACACTTGCTACACATCATAGAATACAAAGATATTCAAACTTACGACTTACCTCGATCTAAAAACGAAGCTAAACCAGGCAATGCTTGCGGTGGCTTCTCCTTCTCTTTCGAGAGAAACCAGACATTAGTGCCGTGTCAGATTTCCAAAACTTCAGGAGCAGTGTTGGCTAGCCACTCGACAGCCCTACGTCAACTCGAAACACCTGGTTCCTACAAACGGAGTTGGTCCCGAGCATGTGCTGAAACAACAATCCCTCACCAGGAAGGGATGCCTCGAGAGAATCCGGGGTTGAAGAGGGAGTGTCCTTGATAATTGCTTTCCTGTAGGCTCCTCCTGGCAAATTTACATTCGTTCTTCCCTGTCCGTCCTCACGCTGCTTGGCTCGTTTTCCTCAAGTAGCTCTCAAACGCGTCCAGCGTGTGGACATCGGTTCTATAGTGCTTCTGGGTGAATTCTAGCAGCTGCCCCCAAGTAAACTCCACGCACGGCCTCTTGCGATCTTGCTCTTCGTCTTCTTTGCTCTTGACCACCAGCTCTGGAATCGGCCGGATCACCATGTCCAGCCCCGGGTTGATGAAGAAAACCAGCGAGTGCCTGGCTCGGGTGGCATGGATCACTGCGCGGTGCTTGGCACTCTTGTAGCGATGGTTGCACAGTGCCTGTGACGAAGAGAAAGCTGCGTGAGAGATGTTTTATAAAAAGAAAAGGAAAAAAGAAGAGCACCACCATCTACAACCAGCTATAGCGCTGCGAGGAGGGAGAGGAGAGGGAAGAGCAGAAACAAAAGAATTCTCGCTCTGTTTACCTGGAATGTGTCACCGATGCTGATGACAAACGCATCGGCACGGGGCTCGACTGTGACCCAAGTCTCGGGAATGAAGAGGGAGTGTCCTTGATAATTGCTTTCCTGTAGGCCAAAGAGCTCGTGAGGCAGTGGCGAACAGGGATCAAAGCTTTGCTGAGTTGGAGATGAGCCAATTTGCCTCTCACAGTCCTGAGTTGATCCCGAGAGGAGCCTGGATTGTGTGCCCGACTACCATTCTGCTCGCCCCTGTTACTAACCACGCACAGGCTCTCACGGGAATGCCCCCAAAACCGTGTCCGACCAGAGCAGCCATGGAGCCCTAGGAGTGCATGGCATAACACCTGTCACCACGCCCTCTTCCCTTCCCGGCCACGCGTGCATCCCGCCCATTGGCCGCCACAACATTGAGCCGATATTCCCGCTAACCATGGCCACCGGCCCTGGCCCGGGCCTGGGGTGGCCTCCCCTTTCCGAGGACCATGGCTTCCGAGGCTGCCCCGGGCCTGGGATCGGACGGCTGCGGGGGTGTGGGTTCTTCGTTCTTATTATTATAGATAGATATAAAAAGATTATTCTACAAAGATTGGCAGTTTAATACAGCATTTATTGTGTCAAAAGTTTCCTTATGCATCACCACCTTATTCTTGCAAAAATGTGATAGTCTAGATGTAGAGATCCAAGAGGGACCAAAGAAGAGTACTCAGCCATTTTGATCTGGTACCTAGTGTCATTCCAGGCCCTTGTCCAAACTCACAGAGACAATCTGGCTGCTTGCGTTTGCTATTTGGGAGATTTCTTTTCTCCTGGTAAAAAGCTAAAGTTAAAAAGTAGAAAGGTACTAATGCGACCTTTTACATACTTAAGTTTCTGCATAAACATCCTAGCCACTAATTTAAGATTAAATCGGGCAATTAAAATATTCAATAATTTATTATGGAAATTTTATTACATATTTTAGATACCCTTGTCTCTAAACCAACAGGGCTGAAGATCACCATCATGGGATCAATCCATGAGCACCATCATGGGACCGATCGATGAGCACTGGAAGTTGCGACGTTTAGTCTTTCATTCAAGCTCTCATATCTTACATGCGGGGCGAAGCGACAGCTCCACTACTTACTGGCCTTTCACGTGTACACATTTCTTCGCATCATCGAGAAAGGGGGGGTCCATGTCACTGACGACTAAACTTTGATCACCATCGCCGCTATATAGGCGCAAATCCACATCTCGATGAGGACCGAGAAACCTTCCAGATTGCACGGAAGAGTTCCTGTGTTATCTCGAGAGGAAGATGTTGTCCAGCTCGGAGTACGTTCTCCTCCTTTTCACAGCAGGCGGTAACTCGGGTGCCGAGTGAAGCCCGAGATCGGGTACAAGGAAGGCGTCGTCCGGCTCTGGGAGTAAGAAAATACCCGGCTTCGTCTTGAGCTTCAACGCAGCTGGGTCTCCTACGACTTTAGTAGCATTGAAACCGGCGGGCAGCTTATCCATCTGAGGAACTGACCGAAAATAGATCTGATCGCTGGAAACGTTAGCGGAGGGCCAGGAGAAATTCGGGTCGATCTGCATGAAGCACGATATCAGAAAACTAAACGAGAGCAGTAGTAGTCAAGTGGATCTTACCTTGGGATCGAAAGTGTAGCTCGAAGTTAGTGACGACGAGTCGGGCAAGTTTAGGAGCTCGTCGCATTTCCAGCCAGGAACTGCCTCCGTGAGGAACTCGAAAATGCTAGTCTTCCTGGATCCATCTCCTGGCGGCGGCGGCGGCGGCGGCGGCGGCGGTGGTGCCACTGGAAGAGTAGTAACAGCAGCGGCGGGCTTGCGAACTCCAGGAACTTGGCAGCTCTTGGAATTGTCCGTGTTGCTGCCAGTGATGACGGTGGCGGTGGAAGTAGTCGAGGTGGAAGTGGAGGTCTGGGAAGAAGATTGGCAGTGGCGTCGAGCGTCCAAAGCAGCGGCGTGATCCCTGTGCTCTCGCCTTTTTGTGCTCTTGGAGGCCCTCGAGTGGCTGTTACTGTTGGGCACAGCATGAGATGATTTTGGCGGTGGTGTTCCTGGAGATGTCGCTGGTACCTGTCCCGAGAGAGTGTGGAGCGAGGCAGCAACGCCCGTGACGAGAAAGCGTCGGTGATTTGAGGTGGAGGCAGTCAACTTGTGGATGGACATGTCACAGTTGTGGCAAAGCAGTGCTCTGTCCTCGAGGCAGAAGAAGTATGCCGTCTTGTCCTGGAGGGGAAAGCGAGATGGATCAGCGAGCGAGCTCCTCAAGACAACTAAAGCGGACGAACCTGGCAGATATCACAGCTCGTCCTGGTGGGAGGCCTGAAGAGAGGTACTCTGTGGTGCTTCCCGGCGAGCTTGTTTGCATCGTGGACTTGGATGTCACATTCCCGGCAGAGGGCGGCCTCGTCAGCGCAGCAAACCACGACTGCTTCGGCCGACTCGCATCCATCGCACTGGACTTTCATCTCCCTCCTCGGAACTTGGAAATCTCAAAAAGTTCTTCGATCACCCACGAGTTTGAAGGAACTCATGTACAGAGAGGGGTTCTTCGTTTAGAAGGCGGAGAAAGAAAAACATAACAAGGCGTACCTCAGTTTGTCACTGTTAGTGTGACAGAGCATGCCATGTGCTCATATTACTTGGCTTGCTACTGCGATGCTAGCTAGACTTGTCAAATATCTCCTTCCTCTGCCAAGCTTCTTTAAAACTTTTTTTTGGTAATCGATCAATCGTCTTGGACCAATTCCAATTTCCAAGATTGCTTACTCCATTTCCTGCCCGAAAAAACATTAGGAGTATCCAAGCAAGAGAGAAAGCTTACCAACCATTGTCTGGATGGATTAATTCTCTAAAGTGACAGCAGCACCAGAAACGCATTCGAAGTCAAGATAAAAACTTTCCACCAAGATCTGGTTGCTTGACTCGATTGCCTTGCTAGCCAAGCAACCATCGGTCATCTGGGCCTGCCTTGGTTTAGCTTGATCACAAGAAGACGACGAATGAGAGCTTTACACTCGAAAGCTGGAATTAAGTAGTAAGCTTTAGCTCGATCCAAAAAGACGAATCTCCTACAGACAGCACGCACCTCGTGGTGTTGTCCCGCTGGACTATTCTCCTGGCAAATCCATTTCATACTAAGTGGTTCACATGATCTGATTGATCCAAGATTTGTTCTGGCTTCATTGCTTATTCGTGGCCTGGCTGTTGGGTATTGACTCGGTTGGATAAACGACAAGCTTGTGCTTTCCACAATCTGCAGAAACAAAACACCGAAGAATTAGGCCAAACGAGAGGAAAAAGGAAATCCTTACAAATCTTTCATTGCTTGACAGAATCTCTCTCTCTTCTGCTGCTGCACGCATTTCCAAATGTTCGCCAGTCTGCCGTCGTGGTTCGCAGCACTACGTGGATGCTACAGTAAAACAGAACAAAAAAGAAGGAAAGAGTAAAGAAAGTAAATCAAAGCAGCAAACGAAAGTTAGAAATTAGAATGAAAAGCTCAAACAATTGACAGCCTGTGAGTCTGGTGGTCTGTCTGTCTGCCAGATGAAGATATGTTTTCTCGCTGTTCTTGAGTTGAAATTTTTGAGGCTCCTAACTCTGTGTACTGCACACGCAGCAGCACACACTTATCCAGTTAGTGAGCCGAAATGTCACATAAGTAGCACAACAAAAATCTATATGTAGAAGACGCGTACGATCGTAAAAAGGCAAACCATTTTCTCGAGCACAAGGTACTGCTGGTCAGAATGTGCTGTTCTCTGGTGGTTGCGGAAGCTTTCGGTTGTGCGGCAAAGCCATCTCTCGTTTCAGAGAAATCAATATGTCTTCCATGGTGTAATCTCGTCGCCAGTTGCTTAGCATGGGGAAGTTCTTGGGATCTACCTGAGAAATCATGACGGGCAAATCAGTGCTTCCCTCAAAGAGGAAAAGGTAATAGCCATCTTCCGAAACAAAAAGACATAGAAAACTAAAAGAAGAACAACTTACAACGCCATTGTCTTGGGAGACGCAGGTCATGTTGATTCTCGACATGAATTTCACGCTCGGTGGCTTGTCCGGATACTCCTTGTCGCAAAACAACTTAAGTTGATAGATCCGGCCGTCGTGAATGGACTGCCAGCAAACAAGTGTTCTACGCGTCAGAGAAGCACACAAGAAATAAAAAAAGAATACAAGCCACTTGTAGCACGGAGCAAGAACACCGAACGCAAAAATCCAAAGGAAAAAGAAAAGCTCACATTGCTCGGCCCAAGGATGGTGCCCGTCCAGGAGCGCATGTAAATGTCATCCGCGTCGTCCATTCCCAAGCTCACCAGTGGATCTCCCAGCCCTTTCTCCCCTCGCTCCAGTTCATCGAGCAGCCGGAAACTCCTGGGAACTGCGAGCAAGCAACAATCGACCTGACAAATCAAAATCCAAATCGGAGCTTCTCACCAGTGACCGATGCCGACGCTGCAGCCGATCCCGCCATCGCTCGACTGGAATGCGCCGCGCCCTACGCTCAAGCAAGACGAGGAAGAAGAAGACCGGACATGTCCAAAACAGTGGTGCCCTAGACTGCCAAGCCGTGCCCTAGTCCAGGTGCCGTACGTTGGTACCGTGCCACTTTGACTTAGGACGGGTTGACTGATTTGTTTGACTTTGCTGGTCGTCGCCTTTCACTCCGGGGTGACGTAGGCGGCCGTGATGCCGCCATCAACGAGCAAGCTCGCGCCGGTCACAAAGGAGCTCTCGTCCGACGCCAAAAACAATGCGGCTCTAGCGATCTCTGCAGCTTTGCCAAATCTTCCCATTGGAATGTGAACGAGCCTGCGATTTCTCTTCTCTTCGGTGTCCAAAACCTGGTTAGCCAGCGAGCAATGAGATGATCATAGGAAGAACTCTTCGCTTACCTTCATCATGAGCTCCGTCTGGATGGGTCCAGGACAAATGGAATTGACACGGACCTTGTCACGGGCGTGGAGCACCGCGAGCTCTCGAGTTAGCGCCAGTACCGCGCCTTTGCTCGCTGTGTAAGCAATCTGAGCGAGAGATTTCATTAGATAGAAACCATAGAAATTCTTTTACTTTTTCTTAATCTTCCTCTTACTTGTGGTGTTGCTGCGCCTAGAAACGCGACAAAGGAGGCTGTGTTGATGACCGAGCCACCACCTGATCTCTGGATCGCGGGGATGCCATATCTACACCCGTAAATAACTCCCTGTGCACGAAAAAGTAGCAAGGGATAAGGTTGGTTGATTGATGGAATGCGGTGGTGTTGTTATTCGGAGATGGATTGCATACCTTGACGTTTATGTCGAGAGTTCTATCAATGACATCGTCTGGTGTGTTGATCGCATCACCATCATTCGCGTCCATGATCCCAGCATTATTGAACAATATGTGGAGACCACCAAACGCTCTCTGGACATTTGGAAACCAAAAGAAATCACAGTTAGAAGACGTGCCAGAAATGATCAATCAAAAATCCAGAAAATTTGGCACAAAAATCGAAAGAAGGTACCTCGGTCTCGAGCACCATTTTCTCGACGTCGGAAGGAATCGAGACATCACCACCGGCGATGGCGAGGCATTTGCCCCCAAATTCTCTCACCGCATCCACGGTTTTTGCCGCTCCGGAGACGCTCTTGTCCACCACAGCCACACACGCGCCTTCGTGCGCGAAGAGAAGGGCAGCCTCGCGGCCAATGCCACTGGAATCAAGAACACACTTAGAAATTTCCAAGGAAAACAAAATCTCTCGATCGAGCCAAAGGATTCTACCTTCCAGCGCCAGTGATGAGCGCCGTCTTGCCCGCCAATCGGCCGGGGTAGGATCGAGCATCGGAGCTCAAGAACACGGCCCCGATCTTCGAAGCCCTGCCAAATATTTTGCCGCGACGAAGCGCCGTGAAGAGCATTGCAGCGATCGATCAAAATCCACCGCGCGCTATCATCCCGATGGAGGGAAGAATCATCTTCTCTTCTTACCTCTCACAGCGCCATCGCCATAGCTTCAATCGATCGAAAACCCCATTTTCCAGGCAAACTTTTTTTTCTACTTGCCAACGTGGCACCCAGTTTAAATTCTTTTACCCCTTTCCAGTAGAAACACTTTTCCGTTTAACCCTTTTACCGGTGCTTTCGACACAACCTTGTGCGTGTGTGGAAAACCTATAATCGTTCCTTCTTCCACTGTAGCGCGCGCGCGAGCGAGCGAGTGAGAGAGAGAGAAAGAGCGCTAGGGCAGGGCGGGCGAGGGCGAAAGGAAGAAAGATTAGAGCGCACAGATTACTTCTCGGCTTGGATCGATCTTGGAGCAGCTGGAATGGCGCGGCATCCTCTGCGCCTCCTGGTGATGAGCTATAGCGGCTGGATTCGACTTCATATCCACGCATTTTAGAGGTAGCCGGGAGAAGAGGAAGAAGAAGAAGTAGAACAAGAAAGCACAGCGCTTCTGTGCTGCATAGCTAGGGTCATTTTGACGGAGGTATAAGCGAGGTTTTGGGACAAGGAAGGAAACAAGGAAAGGGCCGCGCATTTCATGGCCAAGTCCAAGGTTGCAAGGAAGGTTGTGGAATCCTACACGATCAGGGGCACTCACAAGGTTGTCAAAGGTAAAGTAGTCAGTGATTGATTGATCGACTGCACAAAAAATCTCTTTTTGCTTCGCTCGGCTCAAAGTTTTTTGCTTTGCTTCTTCGCAGCTGGGGACACAGTTTTCATGCGTGCTCCCGATCCGGAGAAGCCTTCTTACGTAGCCAAGATCGAGAGAATCGAAGCTGATGCCAGGAACAACATCAAAGTTAATGTCCGCTGGTACTATCGGCCCGAGGAGTCCATGGGAGGGAGGCGCCAATTCCATGGAGCTAAAGAGCTGTTTTTGTCCGATCACTTCGACATCCAGAGCGCTGATACGATCGAAGGGAAGTGTACAGTTCACAGCTTCAAGAGCTACACCAAGTTGGAGAGCGTGGGAAGCGATGATTTCTTCTACCGATTCGAGTACAAGGCGGCCACAGGCGGCTTTACTCCCGATCGTGTTCCAGTGTAAGTGCTCTCTCTCTCTCTCTGTCTCTCTGGCGTCTCGTTGACTAGTTGTGTTCTTATCAAGCTTCTCTTCTTCTCTTGGTCTCGTTGTGTTCTTATCGAACTTCTCCTGGTCTCGTTGTGTTCGAACTTCTCTTTCCTCTCTTGGTCTCGTTGTGATCGAACTTCTCTTTCTTCTCTTGTGTTCTTACCAAGCGCTTTATTACGTGAAGGTATTGCAAATGTGAGATGCCATACAATCCGGACGATTTGATGGTTCAGTGCGAGTCCTGCAAGGATTGGTAAGTCCTCTTCATCCAAACGAGCAAAGTTTTGATGCAAAATACCTCCTTTGCGTCTCCAGGTTCCATCCGACCTGCATGAGTCTATCTCCTGACCAAGTCAAGAAGTTGGAAACGTTCCATTGCCCGGAGTGCTCTTCTTCTCCGCCCGACGAGAAGAAAACAAAGAAATCTTCTCCTCCACACGAGGCCAAGGTAGAAACACACTCCCCCTGTGCTCTCGTCTATATGACCGCTTTATTTTTTCTCTTTTCCAGAGCGAACCAAAGCGCCGGAAGAAATGAAAGGCTCGCTCGGCGATTACTACTTCACACAACGGAGTGATTTTGTCGGCTGATTAAGAGGGTTAGTCCTTGTTTTTGGCTTGTAAGATAGCTAGTCCTTAGGAGTTAGTGCGCAACACTCCGATGATAACCCTCTCTCTCTGTCTCTGTCCATCCCCTCTCATCTCTCTCTGGAGTCGGCCTATATCTGTACCTATTTATCCCAAAGACTGTGAATAGCTTACAGAATTATATGTTAGCAAAGCGACGAAGCCCTGGAGAAAACGAAACTTGTGAGAAAATTTCGATAAATTAGCTCATTTTACCTGTGTTTCACTCATCGTCTCAAGTTACTCGCTCCAAGTGAAGCGAAGTGGAGCTGGAGATCGGAAAAAACGAAACTTGTGAGAAAACTTCGATAAAAGAAGCTGATTTTACCTGTGTTCTCTCCACGCCTCTCACATCTCATCGTCTCAAGTTCTCCCAAGGAGGTGCCGGGACGCCGCTGAGGCACAGCTTCTCACACTCGTCTCTCCTGGCCACCACGCTCTCCCAGGCTGCCTCCCAGGCACTCCCGGCGCTGGAAACGCTTAGCTCGAGCATCCACTGCCGCACTCTTTCATCGTCGTGAGGGGAGAGCTCGCCGTGGATCAAGCTGTGGAGACCAAACATGACGCGCAGCGCGTTGCCATCCCCCGATGCAAACCTGTGCATGGCCTCGAAGACGAGCACTGGCTCCGGCATCTCTGGAAGCTCGTCCCGGCCATGGCTTTTCCACCTTGCGTAGTACGTAGCGTAGCCCCGGAAATACGCACACCGCAGCCGCATTGTCTCCTCCCCGCTCAGCTCCATCTTTCTCATCTCCCTCTCCAGCTCCGAGACGAGCTCCACCAGCTTAAAGTTGGCGCCGCCACCCTCCTCGGATCGATCCTCGGCCTGATATCTCGCGGCGATTCCATCCAGCGGTGGCCTCGACTGGAGCAAGCATCTCTCGCAGTGGAGGCCAATCGAGAGGCAAGAACCCAGGCGCAGCGAGCAGTTGTAGTAGGACTTGAGCAGCTCCTCGCCAGCCTCCAAGTCGCGCGAGGCAAGGACGAGGATGATGCCGCCGCGATGGCACCAGTAGACGTTCGGTGTGCACGAGTGATTGATACAGAACGGCAGCGTGCAGTCGGCATGGTTGTGCGCTACCTCCTCGATCAAGGAGATTTGGAGCTCTTCAGTCACTTTGATCCGTGAGTTTGGCCTGAAAGCGTCGATGCGAGCAACTTCCTCCCCCATTGCGACCATTCTCGATCGAGTCCGTGATGATCCGGCGCAGGCTCTTACGAGCATTGTGATCTTGTCACCCCACTCTCGAGTAAGATGAAGGTTGTCCCAGCTGGGATTGCTAACGAGAAGAAGCTCCCCTCTTTTCGCGTCTCTGGTGACGAACAGGCCAATGCCATCGGAATCTACTCGGCTTGGAGCCAGTTCTAGCGGACCGACGAAGTCTGCCATGGAATGGTCACCTTCCTGTCCAAGCAAGCGTGGAAGATCGAAAGCGCCGTTCTCGCTCTGCTCTTTTCTGATGAGGGACTCTTGATACGCTTTCGTGATCTCTGCCGAGTCGGGGGAGAGCTCCATAGCCTGTTTGAGAACGTCGAACACAATTGAGTAGTGATGGAGGCCCGTCAAAGCTTGTGCTTTGGTGAGCCAGCTCGCTGCATGGAAGCTTTCGCAGCAAGCCAGTGCCGCATCGGCGTCAGCGAAAGCTCTGTCATAGTGTTTTAACAGCAGCCACGCTTCAGCTCGGCTAGACAAAGCCTGGAAGAACACAAAGAAAAAGAGGTGTTGTCAAAAGAAAGAATTGCAAGGAAAGAACTTACCAGTGCGGATCCCTGGCCTTGAGCCGCCTGACAGAAACTGGATTAGACACCTCTGGCAACTTCAAGAAATTCCAAACTCACACCCCAATGCTGTTGCTGTAGAGCTCGATCGCTGCTCGAAAGTTTTTTCGCTCCACCTCTTTGTCTCCCAGCTCTCGCAGCCATGCAGCGTCTCGGGAAGCCCTCAGTTCTGGAAAATACGCCACCACCTCAACCAAGGAAGGGCTCCGGACTTGCATCATCGAGATCATCCGAGAGCTTGGGTCTTTGATCACAACCTCGGCTCCCCTGGGAAAAACTCTCGTCACGTCTTCCTCAGGAAGTAGAGCGAACGGAACCATCACGCACGAAGCCATCCCTCGCTCGTCCTCGAGAGCAAACACGGCCGTGTTCCGGTGTATCGGCCTCCCACTAAAAATCCACGAGAATTTCTTGCTGCTGTCACCGCCTTCCACGCACCTGATCGAATCGATGATGCGGCCACGGACTAATTTCTCCTGGAATCCAGAGTCTGAATCCTTGCCGATCTCTCCAACGCTGCTGCCGCGCGGCATTCCTGCTGGCCCCTTTCCCAGCTCGGCGATTTGCGGCAGCCCCATCAGCTCCATGGTAGCATCAGTCACCCGATAGCTCGCGGCGCTCGCGAGGCGCCACATACCTGACAGGCAATGCCGCGCATTCTCCCGGAGCGCAAGCAAAAGCTCCATAGACAATAAACCCTAAGTACCAAAAAACCCTAATTTTGAAAATGCGCGCGTCTTTGGTTGACTATCTTTGACCTCCACCCTTTTTGCATTTGTCGGTGGAGCATGCATATAAAAGCAAGGCCGCATTCTTTCTTTTTTAGGGCTCCCATAGTTTCTCTCTGACTCGAAATGGCTTCGTTCGCAGATCCCCACAGAGATTTCTTTCACTCAATCTTCAAAGCGTCTTGTAACAAGGCAACAGTCGCAAGAGCAGAGCCAGATTTGAGTCTTACGCTTGGGAGGAGGAGTTCTTCAAATGTTTTTATTGTGCATGGTAAAGATGAAAAAGATTGGTTGAGACTTGGGGTTCCAAACGCTACTACTTCATCATTTTCGACATCAAATTTTGAATCAGAAAAGGTAGAAAAATCGTCGAACACAAAATCTTCTTTTCGTGAGAAGAGAACAAAGATTTCTTGCGACAAGAGCAGTGATGAAGTTCCCATGGCATGTATTTTTTGTGGTGGTAGTGCTAGATTTGACTACTACAACAATAAGAACATCAATCAGCCAAGATTTCGGTGCCTGAAGTGCAAGAAGAAGTTCACTCCAGGCGCAAGTTTGAGGGGAGCACAGCGCAAGAAACTTGCAGAGCTCCACAGGATGACTCAACAAGTTTGTAAATTCAACACATACACCAAAGAATAATTTTGTTACCAAAAATCCTTTTTCTTTTCATGTTCTTGTGGAAGCAGTGATTTGTAAATACAGAACTATCACCCAAAGAACAATTTGTCACAAAAGCTCTTTTTTTCTTCTTGTCTTTGATGCTTGGATCAACTCAAGCTCCTCTTCCACCAGTGACATTATCCATGAGCACATAAGCTGCAGCATCTTGATCATTCAGCTCAACCAGGCGCTCGAACGCAAGCTTCCCGACCACCAAGTTCTTCCACTTGCAGCACGCCCCTAAAACACTCCTCCACGCCACGGACTCTTTGTAGTAACTGGCAGCCTCCACTGGCATCGACTCCGCCATGGCTACCGCAGCGTCCATCTTATTCGCACGGGCAAGCGCATCCACCATGACGCTGTAGTGGTCGACCCCGGGAGCTATCCCGTGCTTGGAACTCATCCCCTCGAGGTACTCTCGGGCCTCCTCCACAAGGCCAGCGTGACTGCAAGCCGTGAGGAGGCACACGAAAGTTGTAGCATCGGCTTTCACCACAGCTTCGCGTTGCATCCTCTCGAAGAGCGAGATGACGAGCTTGCTGTTTCCCTGCCGAGCGTATCCGGCCATGAGCGAGTTCCAGGCGACCAGCTCTCTGGAAGCCACCGCTAGCGAGTCGAACAGCCGCTGGGAGTGGACGATGCTACCGCTCTTCGCAAAGACGTCGATCAAAGAGTTGGCTAGAACAGCATCCACGGCCTCGAGTCCATACAGCCGGCATGCTAGTGCGTAGATCGATTTGCCAGAGTCCAAGTTTGCGCAGCTTCCACAGGCCTTGAGAGCAGTAGCAAGAGTCTGGACGTCTAGCCTTGTGATACCTTGGATCTGGATCATTGCTGCAAAGACTTCCAGTCCCTTGTCACCATTGCCACTCTCCACATATCCCAGCATGAGTGAGGTCCACGAGAAGACGTCCGGCGCAGCCATGCGGTCGAAGACTCGTTGCGCATCCGGCATGCTCCCACACTTTGCGTACATGACGATGAGCGCGTTTCCCATGAGGCAGGAGCTTTGAACATTTGTGACAGCTTGAGCTTCTGAGTGAAGTGACATGCCTCGACTCAAGTATCCCAGAAGCTGATCCGGGTTTCCTTGCTCGTTATCTTTCTCTGCTAGACCCGTCACCGCCTTGAATGCCGCAACGACTGCAAGCTCGTCCGGTTGACATCGACGAGCCTGCGACTGCATGCACTGAAACAAACTCAGTGCCTTCTCTTCGTGTCCACTGTCAACATAGCCAAGCATCAGAGAAGTCCACGAGACGACATCACAGTAAAGCATACCTTGGAAAATCTTCTCCGCATCGTCAATGCTTCCACATCTGATGTAGCAATTCACGAGAGTGCTGGCCACGAAGATGTCCGAAAGGAAACCACTCTTGGCAGCTTGAGAGTGAAGAGCCACGCACTTGCCAAGCGACAAAACCTTGTTGTCCGAAAGGCTCGAGCAGGCCTTCAACGCAGCAACAAAGGACAGCCCATCCGGTTCTACTTGTGCTCCAACCATCCTCTCAAACAAGTCGAGGCAAAGATCCGGCTCCCCGTTCTCGACGTAGCCCAGCATCATCGCATTCCAAGCCGCTAAGTCACGCAGCTCCATTCTTTCAAACACCCTGCGAGCGTCCACAGTGCTCCCACACCTCGCATACATGCTGATCAGCGAGCAAGCTACGTGTTTTTGCCTGTCGAAACCATACCTCCCAGCGTGAGAATGGACACAAGCTCCTCTCTCCAAAGCCGCCACCTTGACGAGCTTTCCATGATCAAAGCTTTTGCCCTCTTCCCTCACAGCCAAGCCCGAGCAAGCCTTGACAGCAGCCACGAAAGTCCGAGCGTCAGGAGCTACTCGTGAGTCCTCCATCCGCGCCAAGAGATTTAAAGCCATGGCATTCTCCCCGTTCTCCACACACCCCGCCATCAAAACCGTCCAGGAAACTGTGGTGTGATGCGCCATTCTCTCGAAAGCTCGCCTCGCTTCCACCAAGCTCCCACATTTCCCATACATGTCCACCACTGTATTCGCCACCGCGACGTTTGCATCGTCTCCTCTCTCGCTGATCCCCGCGTGGAGCACTCTCCCCCTTCTCAAATCCCTGTCCCTGCCGCAGGCCTTGAGCGCCGCAATAAGACCCGCTATGTCGCTTGGCGATGATCTCTCCCTCGTGATTTCCCCACAATCCAGTGTAGGCCCGAGCGCCGGCTTCCTGGTGATGGATCGAGGCCGCAAGATCCTGAGAGCCAGGCACCCGAGCATTCCACATCGATCATCGCCCCAATCTATTTTCCCTCAAAACCCTAGATCGTTTTAGGGCTCTTGCAAGAAACCCTAATTCCTGAATTAGGGTTTCTTCCAAGAACCCTAATTCCTGAATTAGGGTTTCTTCCAAGAACCCTAATTCCTGTCCAATATTTCAACCACCCCCTGTGGCCCCGGCCATCCCTGCTGCCACAAGAAACTTGCCTTGATAGATACATTGCATACTGTTCTAATTTCCACTCAACCACCCTCTGTGGACGTTTGAGGCATCTACAAAGTTGAAAAGGCTTACACCAAACCCTGCTACTGCTGTTGCTAATGCTGCTCTCCAAATTGCACCTAGTCCTGTGGGAGGAGGTGAAATTGTCACATGGCGCCAAATACCTCCTCTTGTCACGTGGTGCCAAATTCTTGTCACGTGGCAGCAGGAAGAGGAAGCAGCAGTTCTAGATGATGTTGCCATTGCCTGGATTGATCGATCATGCAGCGCGTGATGAAGCTAGAGAGCAACAGGTTGTAGCTCCTCTTTGCTGGCCCTCAAAATGCTTGATAGAGGTCTTTAACGTAAATTATACTGATGAATTCAACCTCTAAAAAAGGTAAGGATCTACTTCCTTATGTAGATGGCATGGATGATTTCATTCAGGTCCTGGTCACCTTGAAGTGGATTTGGATGTAGTGATTGCATTTCAGCAAGTATTACTATTCAACTGCATTCTTACGAGCTCACCAAGCTTCCAACCTGAACCAAAACGCTTCTTGTGCCCTTAGCTTCACCATTCTCGCAGATACCCCAGCTCTGAGAATCTTCGCCAACCTGTATCTATACGTTTGTAAATACGTGCCCTGGGAACAACTGCACCTAGAATCTAGTAAGCAGTGAAAGTGGAAAGCACTTAATCCTTAATTGCCGTGTTTCCACAGCCAACCATGATCATATTCTTTTCTTGGCCTAATGCCACGTGTTAGGGCTGAACGTCTGGCATATTTCTTTTAGTCCAATGGGAGACTGACACGTCTCTCATGAGAAGTTTCCCCCATTATATCATTTACGCTAGGTAGAAGCTTCAAATGCTTGATAGAGGTCTTTAGCTGCATTCTTACAAGCTCACCAATCTTCCAACCTGTGCCCTTAGCTTCATTCTCGCAAATACCCAGCTCTGAGAATCCAACCAGCTTGATACCAACTTGTATCTATACGTTGTATATACTGCCCTAGTATCTAGTAAGCAGTGAAAGTGGAAAGGACTTAATCCTTAATAAGAGCTCAAGGATGCCGTGTTTCCACAGCCAACCATGAGCTAAATTGGGCAAACACTCATCATCCCTCAAGAAAACACTTTCAAGAAGGTGGTTTAACCCAATGGAATATTTCGGTGGATTTCCTTTTCTTGCCCTAATGCCACGTGTCAGGGCTGAACGTCTGGCATATTCGTTTTTAATCCAATGGGAGGCTGACACGCATGAGATTATATCATTTACGCTAGGTAGAAGCTTCAATTTTCCTGTGGAGATAAGCACTGAAGTGGCTGAAATGTCTGGTTTGTAAAAACAATGCACGAGGATTGCCTATTTCCCGGATAGAATTAAATCGGGGCCCAACGACCGCGGGCAATAATACTGGTGCGAGAAAATATTCGTCAACACCGGCGGCCACGATTTGGCCACCTGGGTTTTTTGGAGGTAAGCCACGTAAGCGGGTCAGGGGCTTGCTAATTTGGGACGTAATTGGCGGTGCAATGGAATTTAAGAGAATGCCCCGCGCCAGAACACCTTGTCATCTCCTGCATTCGTCGGCGGTGTTGGATAATTGGATCGATTGGATCGATCGCTTTTTCCCGCGAGGTAAGCGATCGAGAGATCGTAGATTTCGCGCTCACGCATTTCTCGCATTTCCAGGCTGAGTTCTAGAGCTCCGGCGGGAGCAGGAGGGAGAGGAAGATAAGCATGGAGTTTGGGAGAGCAACCAGAGTAAGCGATCGTTGCTTTGCTCGAATGTGGGCGATTCGATCCTCGCGGTCGCGAGTGCTTCCCATCGATTTCTCGCTCTGGGCGATCCGGACTGACGTTTTCCTCTCCACAGGTGGTCGACGAGGAGGCCGAATTCGAGGCGGAGGCGGCCGCGGTGGAGGCATGGTGGCGATCCGATCGCTTCCGCCTCACGCGACGCCCCTACACCGCCCGCGACGTTGCCCGCCTCCGCGGGACTCTCCCAATCCACTACCCCTCCAACGAGATGGCCAAGAAGCTATGGTTCATCCTCAAGAACCACCAGGCCAACAAGTCGTGCTCCCGGACCTTTGGAGCTCTCGATCCAGTCCAAGTCGCCCAGATGGCCAAGTACCTCGACACCATCTACGTCTCGGGCTGGCAGTGCGCCTCCACCGCCTCCACTTCCAACGAGCCCGGCCCCGATCTCGCCGACTATCCCATGGACACCGTCCCAAACAAAGTGGAGCATCTCTTCATGGCGCAGCTCTTCCACGATCGCAAGCAGCGGGAGGCTCGGCTGAGCGTCGGCAAGGAGATCCGATCCAGGACCCCCTACGTCGATTATCTCGCGCCTCTCATCGCCGACGCTGACACTGGATTCGGCGGCACCACCGCCACTGTCAAGCTCGTCAAGATGTTCGTGGAGCGCGGAGCCGCCGGGATCCATATGGAAGACCAAGCCTCGGTGACGAAGAAGTGTGGTCATATGGGTGGCAAAGTTCTCGTCGCCACCTCCGAGCATATCAATCGTCTCGTCGCTGCGAGGCTTCAGCTGGACGTGATGGGAGTGGAGCAAATCCTGGTGGCGAGGTCCGACTCGGTGGCTGCGACGCTGCTCCAGAGCAACATCGATCCCCGAGACCATTACTTCATCCTTGGTGCGAGCAATCCGGCTGTCAAAGGCAAGCCGCTCGTCACGGTCATGGCCGAGGCCCAGGCGATGAACAAGTCCGGGAACGAGCTCCAGGCGATCGAGGACAACTGGTTGGCGCAGGCGGACCTCCGGCTCTTCTCGGACGTGGTCGCGGACGCCATCCGGAAGATGGACATCGCCGAGAACGTCAAGGTGGCGAGGCTGAATCGCTGGTTTGACAGCGTCGAGGGGCTCTCCCATGCTGATGCTCGAGCTCTGGCTGCCACTCTCGGTGTCACCGACGTCTTCTGGTGCTCGGATCTTCCCAGAACTCGGGAAGGATTCTACCGCTTCCAGGGGAGCACCAAAGCTTGCATCGCTAGAGGCTGCGCCTTTGCTCCCTACGCCGATCTTCTCTGGATGGAGACTGCTACTCCGGACGTCGTCCAGGCTCAAGACTTTGCTGAAGGTGTCAAGGCCAAGCACCCGGAGATCATGCTCGCGTATAACTTGTCACCGTCTTTCAACTGGGACGCTGCCGGGATGAACGACGCTCAAATGCAAGAGTTCATCCCCCACCTGGCGAGGATGGGATACTGCTGGCAGTTCATCACTTTGGCTGGTTTCCACGCGAATTCTCTCGCTGCTGATACGTTTGCTCGCGACTTCAAGCAGCGTGGCATGCTGGCTTACGTCGAGGATATCCAGCGCCAGGAGCGTATGAACAACGTCGAAACTCTGGCTCATCAGACCTGGTCCGGGGCGAATTACTACGACCAGCTGCTCAAGACGGTTACTGGCGGTGTCTCGTCCACTGCGGCGATGCAGAAAGGTAACAAAGAGTTCCATACGTTTCTCTTTTTCTCTGTGGTCCTGTCCTCTTGTTTTCTGGCTCGGAGAATCTGGGCGACTGTCTCGTTGGTTTTCGTCTCGTTTCCCGATTTGGATTTTGACGCTTCTCTTCTGCTGGTGTAGGTGTGACCGAGGACCAATTCAAGGATACTTTCGGAAGCAACTTGCAAGCCGGAGCGGAAGTGTTCGCCAAGTCCAAGCTGTGAGGCTGCTCTGCCCGTTCCGAGTCTATGGATAATGACGATACTCTTCGGTGTGGAGTAATAATAATGTGGCTTGCTTGAGAAACTGCCAAATGAAGCCTGCTCTCGAGCAGACCCCCAGGAATTGTATATATATCCATCCATTCTTCTTTTGCGCAATTCATCTGGGATAAAAACAAACCAAAACGTCTGATCAGTAGGGCCTGAACTTACGTGCAGCTCGCAATTGCGCTATTTTCTTCTTATCTTCTTGGAACTTAAGCTGAAGTTGGGCCACCTCTGATGAATCACAAGCCAAGGTCAGGAAAGGCAACATATCGGTTGTTTCATTACCGTTTCGGTGCGTGTCTCTCTTTTGGAATTTGTAGAAATCATTCAGCGCCTGCGTCTTCTTCTCGGCATTAGCCGCGACAGCGGCATGAACAGCACCGACAGCAATCCCAGAGGTAGCGTCTGCGCTCCTCCTTTTCCCTTTCTGGCGAGTCACGACTGTCCAGCCGTCGCCACTGGCAGCAACTTGTCGTTCTTTACGTGCCTGGTTTGAATAATCCAATGGAAGTTTGAGCAAAATTGGAACACATCTACGACACTTACTTGCTCTTCGCGTTCCTCGTAGTCAGCTATGAACGAGTCGAGCTGCTCCTGTAGCACATGAATACCTGGCCTACGTGCATTATATTCTGCTATCCATTCTGCAAAAGACAAAGAACTTCTTAGAGACAAGAAACTCAAAAGGAGAGACTCACTCTCCATTCCTTGAAGTGTTTTTCCAGCTTCGCCATCCCCAGAACCTGCACCACCGGAGGACGCAGGGACTACGGGTTCCACCTCCTTTTTCTTTTTCTTCAGCTTCTTTTCTAGCTTCTGTTGGTTTCCATCCTCAACGAGCATTTTCTTCTGCTTCTTCAGTGCTTTTTCTACCTTCTCCTCGTGTTGTCCACCCTCAATTTCCTCGACAACCTTCTTCTTCTTCAGCGTTTTTACTACCTTCTGCTCTTTTTGTCCATCCTCAGTTTCCTCGACAAACTTCTTCTTCTTCAGCGTCTTTTCCACCTTCTGCTCGTTTTCTCCATCCTCGATTTCCTCGACAACCTTCTTCTTCTTCAGCGTTTTTACTACCTTCTGCTCTTTTTGTCCATCCTCAGTTTCCTCGACAAACTTCTTCTTCTTCAGCGTCTTTTCCACCTTCTGCTCGTTTTCTCCATCCTCGATTTCCTCGACAAGCTTCTTCTTCCGCTTCTTCTTCTTCTTCTTGAGCGTGATTTCTAGATCGCTGTCATCCTCCTCAACAATTTCCTTCTTCTTTCCTAGCTTCTTCTCGCTAATCTTCTTCTTCTTCTTCAGACGATCTCCATCCTCATCCTCGCTAGTTCGCTCCGGCATTGGAACCAGATCTAGGCTCCTCTTCTTCTTCTCACTCGAAATCTTCTTCTTCTTCTCCACTAACAATTTCCCTCCCTCCAAGACCTTCTTCTTGATCTTCTTCTCCTTCACTAGATTTACCTCACTCCGGCTCGCATTTTTCTCGCTCTTGCCCATGCTAGCGACGCCACGCGCAGCGCTCTCACGCCATACCTCCTGTTCCCGCCGATAAACCCTAACTAAAGCCCCAAGATGTCATGGTCTCTAGGGTTTATGGCAAGCTGCCAGTAGGACGGAGGCTTCCTCGACCACCGTCGCCGGCATTCGATCGTGCTGCCAGAGATCCGCAACAGCAATCGCTCAGATCAGCTCTACAGATCGACACCGAGCAATATTTCCAGCATCCATCCCCGGGGCCGCTTTCTCCAGCGATCTACGCCTCCCTGCTCCGGCGATGCGCGAATGCGCAGGCGCTGGCCGTTGGGAGGAGGATCGATGCCCATATTTCGAGCTATCATCGCGATCCAGGTACTTTTCTCGGCAGTTTGCTCGTCCAGATGTATGGCAAGTGTGGAGACATCGACAGCGCGCGCCGGGTTTTCGATTCGGTGGGCGCCAAGACGGCATTCACTTGGAATGTGATGCTGGCAGCATATGCCCAAAATGGGCATTACAATCAAGCACTGGATTTGTTCCGGGAGATGGGATCCAAGCACAGGAATCCGGAGGAGAAGCCCAATGCCATCACCTTCTCGACTGTGACCAACGTCTGCTCGCTGTCTGGGGATCTAGAGGCCGGGAGAGCTCTCCATGCTCGAATTCTAGACAGTGGAGTGGAGCTTGATGACTTCGTGGGGACTTGCCTCATCAACATGTATGGCAAGTGTGGGAGCTTGGAGGACGCGAAGAGATTGTTTGAGGCCTTGCCAAGGAGGAGTGTGGTGGCTTGGAACACCATGCTCGGCCTCTTCGTCCAGAAGGAACGCTGCGAAGAAGCTCTTCGTTTTTTCAGAAGGATGCAAACCTCGGAGACAGTCGTCATCCCGGACTCAGTGAGTTATACAACTGCGCTGAGAGCTTGCTCGCTGCTGGAAAGTTTGGAGGATGGGAGATCAATCCACCACGACTACTTGGCCGGTGGAATCAAGCCGGATATAGTTCTTGGAAACACGCTCGTCAAGATGTATAGCGTCTGTGGCAGTGTGGAAGAGTCGAGGCACGCTTTCGACGCCATGCCGGAGAAGAACAGCGTCTCCTGGACAACCATGTCCGTCACATACACTCAGAGTGGCCGCCATCGAGACGCGATGGAGCTCTACTGGAGCATGAACTTGGAAGGCGTGAAGTCACACCAGGTGGTATTTCCAAGCGTTCTTAGCGCGTGCTGGGAGCTGAGACAAGGCAGAGACATCCACGCTCGGGTAGTTGCCGAAGGTTTTGATCGAGACACAGTCGTGGGGAATGCGCTAGTGACGATGTATGGGAAGTTTGGAGCGCTCGACGATGCAAGGCGGGTTTTTCATCGCATTCCTGAGAAGACGGTCATTTCCTGGACGTCCATGATCGCGGCAAATGCTCAAAACGGAGAATGGGGGGAGGCCTTTCAACTGTTTAAGACGATGAAGAGCCGGGGTGGTGTGAGGCCGAACGCCGTGACTTGTCTCATCATCCTCGACGCCTGCTCCGACTTTGGGACGGTAGGAGATGGCAGAGAAATCCATGCCGAGATAAAAGCCGGTGGATTGGACTCGCAACTCCGGGTGAACAACACGCTCGTCAACATGTATGGGAAATGCGGGAGCTTGGCCGATGCGAGGGAAGTTTTCGACAGCATGCGCGAGAGAAATGTGGTCTCTTGGACGTCCATGCTGGCTGCGTATACGCACCAGGGACACGGCAACAAGGCACTGGAACTATACAGGACTATGGAGCTTCAAGGCATGGAGCTCGACGACGTAGCATTCGTGAGCGTTTTATCAGCGCTCGGTCACGCAGGATCCGTCCACGACTGCCGGCAGTGCTTTATGACTATGGTCCGTGACCATGAGATCCAGACAATGGCAGAGCATTACAACTGCTTGATCGACTTGTTTGGAAGAGCCGGGTGGCTGGACAATGCTAAGGACTTGCTGGAAAGGATGCCGTTCGAGCCTGCTTACAAGGAGTGGATGACTTATTTGGGGTCGTGCAAGCTGCACGGCGACTCTCACCGTGCTGCAGATGCTGCCAGGCGATGTGCCGATTTGAGGCCAGGAGTGGCCCAACCTTTCGTCATGCTGCTCAGCACGGTTGGCAACGAGGACGACGCGGAGGAAACCGAATCAAAAGCCGACGCTCTCTAGTGGGAAGATCTGGATAAAGTCGTCACAATCAGGTACGTGATCTTCTTAGCTCAGAAGTTTTTACCACCGTGTTTTGCTTTGACGATTGCAGGCTGGCTGGAGCTTGGGCGATGTCTGATTCAAAAAATGAGGAGTAGAAAAGTCTCTGGTGCGAGAAACAGGCCAGAACAGGATTGACAAGGGTCCTTTCTGTGATTGAAGCTCCGGCCATTAAGAATGTGTTGGTGTCAGCTCTCGTCTCGTCTCTCAGGTATATACTTGCTCACGTGTACATCTTCTCGTTGAGACACATTGCTGGTTGTTGAACAGAAATTATTTGCGCTGCGGCTACACGACAGTTTCGCTGTGGACACAGGGATCGATTGACGCTCGCTGGCTTTTTTATCTTCTCCTTTCCTTTCGGCGAGGTCCAAGTCCAATTGGACAATCTCTACTCTGAGAGTAAGCTATGCACACGCTGCTTTCACCCCTCGTCATTGTTGCAGTTTGGTGGCCTAGATTTCGCGAGCAACTCAACCTTTAACTGCTAGCAGCATCGATCGCCGGTGTGGCACAATAACTCACTTGGGAGCCACAGAGCAGCAGCCAGGTAAAAGAAGAGGAAAAGAAGCAGAGGGAAAGAAACTCGAAGCGTGAGCTAGTCATCTTTCATACTGAGCTGTTTTTTCTTGTGCAGCGCAGCAAGATCTCTCTTCGCAGCACAAACAGTTATATACGAGCCTCCAAGCTCTCTCTTCTCTAAAGCCTGCGTCGCCCACAGCGCTGCGAAGTCCTGCATTCATCGCTCACAAGCTCGCCTTCTCTCTTGACGTGACCCCCTTCGGTTTATCTTACTTTCTCTTCGTTCTAACGCTGTTTTCCATTTCCGTGCAGGGATCTGCGACGAAGATCTTCGCAAATTCCAGGCTATAAAGGAGCGAAGCGAGAGAGCTCTTAAACAAACATTCGAGAGGTATTGGGTGGAAGTTGACACTTTTGCTTTTGACGAGATCTAACTAGCTGATTGCCGGTCTATTCTATTCTATGCCGCTACAGTGGCTTTACTCCTTTTGTTTCAAGCTGGCGACGATTCATGCTACGCAACGATGCTCTCTCGCAACATCCTTTTTGTTTGGGGTGGCAGAGCCCACATTCCACCACCGCTCCACCATACTTTGATTGCCAGCAAATTCCATCCCAAATTTCAATGCGCGCAAAAGTAAAGGAAAAGATCAAAAGAGCTCTCGTAGCTTTCGAAACCTCGCTGATAGCTTTGATTGATCCATTGAGTGATAGACACCTCCAACATTGAACTATCAGCTTCCAAACAGCGATGTTAGCGTGCCGTACACAGAGTACGGCAGTAGAACCTCTTGCGTTTTTCTTTTATCCGCAGTGACGGCGCGGTTAAAAAACTGCGCTTGTTTCCTGTACGGACCACTGACGGCGCTGTCTAACGGAATATTTTCTCTTTCTTTTACCCTTGTTACTTTACTCTTGCCCTTTTAATCCTCTAGTCTCATCAAAATGGCGGATTCCCTTGCGCGGCGATGATCGGTGATGGACGCCGACGATAATGCGATCGATCCATCTTCTCTCATCTTTCTTGATTGACTCCAGGGGAGCATTCTCGATCGATCGATCGATGGATGCACTATAGGTCGCAAGCAAGAGCTTCCATCGCTCCAGTGATGGAGATTATCAGCAGCAGGAGGGGCGTGGGGCGCTGCTCCAGCCTCGGCGATCACAATCGGCAAGATTATCCCCTCTTTAGCCCTGTTCTTGATTGGCAAGAACAACAACGCGAGGATCAGCTGGAATTTCGATTCTTCTCATCCTCCTCTTGCCCCTCGGCAGCGCACGGCAATTGCGTGGAGATGATATCGGCCGACGAGATCTTCAGCAATGGCAGGATGCTCCCATGCGCTCTGGATTCCGCCAAGAACACCAGCAACAAGAATCTTTCCATGGCCATGAAGCGTCCCAATCCACACGCATCCACGCCGCCGCCGGCACCGCCAGCAGCGCCAATGCCAGCAGCGTCAGCCACGGCCGCGAATCGATCATCGTCATCATCATCCAGCGCCAGCGGCAACACGATCAGGAAGAAGAGCGCCGCGATGGTGGCCACCGCGACGTGCTCCAGCCACTGGAAAGAAATCTTCAATCGACTGCGCAATCCGGGGAGGCCGAGATCATCGTCGCAGTCCTCCTGCTACGAATCGTCCGGCTCGCTCTCATCGGACATGGACGCATTCCCCTCCTCGACTAGCTCCAGCAGCCGGAGGCTCCTCCTCCTCCCGGATCACCATGGCGAGGATTTCTCCCTCCCTCTCACCAAGGCCACCAAGGCGAAGAATTCTCACAGGGCCTCCTCCCAGCAAGGCATGGATCGTCACGACAAGAGCTCGAGCTCGAGGATGATGAGGGTCTCGTCCTTCGATAGCCGATCATCGAGTCGAGTATATCCAGGTGGTGGTGGCGGCAGCGGCGATCACCATCACTCTCAAACTTCGAGGAGATCCTTCTCCAGGGATCATCACAGGAGATCCTTGTCGTCCTTTCTCTACGATCAGCACCAGCAGCATCACCAGCACCACCATCGCCACCAATCCGTCACTTCGGTTCTCAACATGCCCGTTTGCATGGGCGATTCTCTCGTCGCCTCGGCATCGTCTTCTTCCTCGGGTAAGCTCGCCAAACTTCACAGCTCCAGTAGCAGAGCCAAAAGGAGATGAAAATTCTTTTCTTCCTGGCAATACAATTCTTGAGAGATGGATAGATAGAAACAAAGTTCTTCTTGCTTACTCTTGTGCTCATTCCTTTGGTGTGTAAAAAATTTCGCATCTTCCCATCTGTTCCCTGTTACTTGCCAAAAACTTTTCTGGTAATGCCCATAAATTTCCCAAACTTACCCAAATTTGGCCAGTGGTGGAGAGAGGAGTTGCTAATGTTTTTAATGGAGCTTCAAAATTTAGTGCCTCTCAGTTGCTGTGTTGCTGGAGCTCGGCTCATCGATCAATCTCCTACATTCGAAAAGAGGTCAGTGATTTCGCTAGAAAAGCAAAAAAAAGAAGGAAAAAAGATACCAGAGAGCTCGTAGAGATGTCGATGGTGATTGCGAACGCTGCCACCTTTCTCGTCTTGGTCCTCTTTTCTCTGCGAGCTCTCACAGTTCTCAGCATCAACATCACCCAAGTTCTCGGCCTCTTCCCGGACTACACCAACTTGAACATGCTGCTGCTTCAAACCGGCGTTGCCAACGAGATCAACCAGCGTTCCTCCCTCACCATTCTCGCCGCCGAGGACTCCGTGCTTGATCCCATCCTGGATCAGCTCGCGCAGTCCGTCACCGGCCAGCAGATAGCTGACATCCTCCGCTACCACGTCCTGCTCGAGTACGAAGGAATCAACGACCTCCGGAGCCTCCCCAACAAGAGTAAGCTTTTCACCACCCTCTTCCAGACCACCGGAAGAGCCTCCAACAATGCTGGCTTCGTGAACATCACGGACGATCCCAACGGGGGCGTCTCGGTTGGCTGGCCCAGCTCCTCCACGGTCTTCAGCTCGGAGATCCTCGGCACTGTCAAGGAGCTCCCGTTCAATGTTAGTGTCGTTGATGTAAGCCGGGTTCTCGTACCTTATGGACTCCTTCCACCTTCGCTCATGCCGCTGTTTCTCGCTCCATCACCACCACCAGCTGAATCGCCATCACCGTCGGGAGGACCACCAGGACCTTCTTCTTCGCCTTCTCCAAGTTCTTGGATAAGTCCCTCGACGTCGCAGCAAGGAGGTAGCCCAGACAATGGCAATCCAGGCACAAGCTCGGCAGTAGCACCATCAGCCCTTTGGAATGTCCTTTTAGAAGTTGCTTTTCTACTTGTTCTTCTGATCGTTTGATGTAGATGACTTTCGTTCTATCCTCAGAAATAACAGGAATTTCGATCTGTCTCTAGCTTCTGGCAAGTTCCCTGGATGTTGGCCATCAAAGAATAGGCCGCAGCATTGCTCCCTTCCAACTTTAAGCACCATTCGAACGCAAGCTTCCCCACTGTAGTATTGTTCCACTTTCGGCACGCTCCAAGTACTATCGACCATGACAGTGCGCTCGGCTTGAAAGGCATAGCCTCCAGTACCGCGACGGCTTTGTCGATTTCCCCGGCTCGGCCAAGGATGTCAACCAGACAATGATAGTGCTCCATCTCAGCCTGTACCTCGTATCTGCTAGTCTGCATCAAGTGAAAGAGCCTCTTTCCTTCCTCGATCAAACCGACATGGCTGCACAGCGTCAAAATGCACAAAAAGGTGGCAGCATTTGGTCGGGAGCCTTGGTCCTGCATCCCGTTGAAAAGCTCGAAGGCCCGAGTTGTGTCACCTTGCCGACAGTAACCAGCTATCAGCGCAGTCCAAACCAGCATGTCCACCGTCGAAGCTGAATCAAACTGGCAGCTCGCATCGACCAGCTTCCCACACTTCCCGTAAAAGTCCACCAGGCAGTTCACCAGCACGGCATCGTTTTCAAGACCGGATCTGCAAACCTCTGCATGGATTGCTTTCCCGACTTCTACAGCCACCAAACTGGAGCAGGACTTGAGAGCAGCCGCAAGAGTGTGAGCGTCCGGCTTCGTGCGCACGTACACAGCAGCAAACAGGTCCAGTGCAACCTGTCCCTCGGCAGATTCCGCGTATCCCACAATGAGCGTCGTCCACAGCACTGAATTGCAAGCGGCCATGCTGTCGAACACCTTCCTGGCATCCACCATGCTTCCACATCTCGCATAGAGATTCACCAAACTGCTCTCAACAAACGCGTCGGTTTCCCAGCCACTTCGTCGTGCTAGAGCGTGAAGAGTCATCCCTCTCTCCAGAGCCTTCACCTTTACGAGCTTCCCGTCTATTCTCTGGCCCTCTTCACTGGCAGCCAGACAGGTACACGCCTTCAGCACGGGGACGAACGTTCGTGAATTTGGATCGCAGCACTGAAGAAGCCTCATTTCTTCAAACAGCTCCAGACACAGCTCTGCTTCACCATTGTCTGCGTAGCCTAATAGCAGCGCGTTCCATGACACCACAGTCGGAAACCTTAACGTGTCGAACACCTTCCGGGCATTTAGCATGCTTCCACACCGGCAGTACATATCGATGACCGTGTTTGCGACTTGCACAGAGTTTGACACCATCCTCGTAGCCTGTGAGTGAACGACCATTCCTTTCTCCAGCCATTTCATCTTCACAGTCCTCCCATCAATCTGCTTTCCTTCTTCCCTAGCTGCCATCGTAGCGCAGGCTTTGAGTGCAGCAGCAAGCGTCAGAGCATCCGGCAGTGTGCGTCCTTCACGTTTCATCCTGTCGAAGAGCTCCAAGGCTAGCTCTCCCTGTCCATTCTCCACATACCCCCGGATCAGCGCAGTCCACGAAACCACATTGTGTGAAGTTAAGGAGTCGAAAACCTGCTGCGAGTCCGCCATCCTTCCACATTTCGCATATGCGTCAACAAGGGTGCTGGCCACGTAAATCTCCCTGTCACACCCCATCTCTCGAGCTCTATCGTGCAAAGCGATGACCTTTTCCACGCACCGCAGCTTCACGAACTTCCCATCAACGTGACAACCATCTTCTTTTGCTGCCAGGATCGCGCAAGCCTTGAGCACCGCAACTAAAGTTCTAGAGTCTGGCTCGCAGTTTTCTCCCATTCCCATGCAGCCAAACAGCTCGAGTGCCAACTCTTCCTCCTCGTTCTCAGCACATCCCATGACCAAGGAGTTCCACGACACAACGTCTCGGAGTAGCATCCTGTCAAAGACCCGGCGAGCGTCAGCTAAGCTCCCACACTTGGAATACATGCTTACCATATTGTTGTGAAGGATATAGTCTCGGCCGCAAGAGCTTCTCTGGAACTTTGAGTGAAGCGCCATGGCTTTCTCCAAGGCCTGGGTTTTCACAAGCGTCCCATCGATCTCACAGCCCATTTCTTTCGTCGCCAGTCCAGCGCAAGCCTTGAATCCAGCCAGAAAGATCCCTGAATCCGGCGGTGCGATCATCCCGCTCAAGATAATCTCCACTCCCAGGCCCTCCTCTCCATTTTCCACATAACCCAGCACGAGCGAGCTCCAAGATCCCGCGTTGTGGCACGGCATTCGATCGAAGACGCCGCGCGCGAGATCGAGACTCCCGCACCTGGCGTACATTGCGACGAGAGCATTCGCGGCGACGATTGAGCCCGCGATTCTTCCAGCGGCTTCATGGATCCTCTTCCCGCGCTCCAAATCCCTGGAGCTGCTGCACACCCGGAGATCAAGAAGGAGCTTCGCTACATTCGTCCGCGCTACTCTCATAGCAGCAATCGCTCACCTCGAGGCGCGTCGCGGCGGCCAATCGGCTCCATCGCCACGAAATGTTTCCCTCTAGACTATAAACCCTAACTTTTCGAATTAAAAGTCAATGGTTATAAAACGCGGTAGCTCCATTGTTAGCTACAAAAACGAAGGAACTAGACAATGCGCTCTAGCTCCCGCGCGTAGCCCAGAGTTTGATTGATGAGCTGCAGCGATGGAATCTCCTTGCAAAGCGAAAAATCCTTCACCTTCTGGAAGTAGACGCATCGATTTCTTATCTCCCAGTCCGGATGCTCCTGAAAACATGAAAGAGATGATATCGAGAGATCGCAACAGTGGAGAGAGAAGTACCTCACTGATGTAAGTCATGAGGTCCTGATCTCTCGTGAACTTAAAAATCGTCTTGGCATCGTCCAGCGTCAGGAAATCGTAAGCTTTCTCGCTGCAGCCAGAAATCTCATCCCTGGAACAAAATCGATATTGATCAAACTCTCTTCTCTTCTTTCAAAGGAAAAGAGAATCTTACCTCACGGTCTTGGCGAGAAGATTGATGAAGTAATTGTAGCTGTCGTGAGGAACCTTTCGGCTACGAAGGACGTGATTGTAAGCGCCCTCCATCAGTGCTTGCTCCAGCTCCACCACGATCTTGATGCAATCGTTCTTGAGAGCTTCCGGAGACAAGAGTTCGAGCTCGGTGTGAAACTCGGCGATCCTGTTCTGGACGAGCAGCCGCAGGAGATTGAGACCCAGCATGATGTACTCGAAATTCGATGGAGGAATCAGGTGTCTACAAGACCAAAGAAGAGAAAAATCGGCCCAAAGGAGAAAGATGAAAGAGCCACTCTACCTTGTGTCTGTGTAGTAAGGCTTGAGCTGGAGAAAATGGAGCTCGAAAGATTCCTGGTCTTCAGTCCCAACGCTCAAGAGCACAGCCTGCTCAAGGATGGATCCTAGAACAAAAAAAGAGAAAGATAAAAAACTTGGATGTGAAAGAGATTCTAATATAGATTGTTCTTACGAGCAAGCTTGAGCTCCTCGACTTGAGTAGAGGTGTGGCGATAGAGCGGTGGAAGGCCGGAGAACTCGGTGAGCTTGACCTGGAAGAGCTCCATTCTAAGAGCCGCATTGGATCGAAATCTAGGAAGGAACTCACCTTGAGCTGATTGAGGAAGGCGCGTGCGCTCTCGAAATTCCGGGCGAAGATGCTCGTCTCGAGGCGCCCGTAGAGGCGCTGCGCTTCCAGGACCTTGCTGTTGCCGCTGTCCATCTCTTCCCACTCTCCCCCAAACCCTAACTTTAGGTTAGGGGTGAAGATGGGTGTGGTGAGATTGATCACCAGGCTCGCAAATCCCGCGCAGCGAAGGTGAGCTATGGATCTTTCGCCCTCTTTTCTGATCGATGCGCGCTCTCACAGGCATTGGGTTCCAAAGAAGAAGATTTTGGGCACCCCCGAGCTCAATCGGATCTACAATGGCCCTGGCGTGGATCAGGACTACGGTAACGATCGAGTGACTGTTCTTGGAGCTCGCTCTATCGATTGAAAGCTCTCTCTTTCTCGCAGTGAATAGCGAGAAGTACAAGACCGAGATCCTCCAAGCCAAAGCTCGGATTTTCAACTACGTGATTGGGAATGGATTGCGATCCGGCCACAAGATTCTCAGGAGGAAGCTCATCGGCCCGGAGCTCGTCAAGTGGTACCCATTCCCCTTGCAGCATTTGGATCGGCGATTCAAGGATCCAACCGAGGAGAGGTATGAGAATTCTTCCTTCACGCAAATTTCTAGTCTGTTCTTGCGGATTGATCGCGCTCTCCTCTTTCCAGGCGATACCAGAGATTGCAAAGATTGAAACGAGCGGGCAAAGGAAGACCGAAGAAAGGCCAAGGCAAGCGAGCGACCGCCAAAGCCAGCAAGAAGAAATAGAGTTTCTAGGGTTCTTGAGAGGGATAGGAGTTTTAGGGTTCTTGGGGAGATCGATGGCGATGGCGATGGCTCTAGGCAGGAAATGCGGCTTGATCCCGCGGCAATTGGTACAGTTCTTTCGTTTCTCTCGCATCGCAGCGCTCTGATTTGGATGGATCGAGCGCAGCAACAGGTGCGCGGCGTGTATATCGACTGCAAGGGGCTGAATTTCGAGCAAGCCATGGCGCGCTATGGCCGGAAAATGCGACAGGACAAGACGCTCAACGATCTGCTCAAGAAGGAGTACTACGTGAAGCCGTCGGAGCAGCGGCGCCAGGCGGAGAAGGAGCGCGTCAAGCGAACCAAGAAGAGGCTCTTCCGGGAGAAGCTCAAGTTCGTCTTGATGTTGCGAGCAAGGTTTGCATTTCTCTTTCCCTCCCTTTGTTCTTCATTCACCATAGCTGGTTTTCTTTCTCATCGGACAAATCCAGCTTTGTTTTTATCATCTCCCTCTTTGCGAGATCTTGAATCGCTTACTGATGATCTTCTCCTCGTTTCCAGAGGGCTGTGATCGAATTTTGGTGATCTTTGATTTGTTTTCCTCGCTACTAGAGTAGAGGTACTGTTCTTATGAACCAACAAGAGCCCTAAGTTTCTTTTCTATCATGGCCTCGGGAGGGCCTCTTCTCGGTTTCGACGACCTCATCCATGATCTCAACAAAGACCCCTCTTCTCCGAATTTCCCCTGGTTGGATCGCCCATCAGCAGCGCAAGAAGATCATCATCTCCCTCTGGATCTCGATCTCGTAGACGTGCTTCCTCTTTCTTTCAATCCCAAGCAATACCATTGCAGGAAATCCAGGAGACTTGCCGCGATCTTAATGCCGCATTGGAGCGCCCGGGCTACGCTTGGACCTCACTCAACCAGAAGGTGGGTCGCCTCGATCGTCGATTCCTCCGCAATTTCTCATGTGAGCTGTGTGGAAAATCTCACCTATGCACGAGCCTGGCGGCCGCAGCCGAGATCCTTCGAATCAGCCACGCGAATTTCGCGTCATTGCTCCAGAAACTCCAAACCCTGCGCGCGATTGTTGGCAGGGGAGAAGGAACCCTAAAGATGCTATAAATGCCGATTTTCTAGGTTGAGTATATTCTCTTAGGGCAGGGCGTGCCATAAGGGTTTCCAACGACAGCGCGCCCCTCATCGATAGAGCTGGCTCTGCTCCATCTTCCCTGCGACGCGCGGTAAGTCTCCCTCTCCCTCAAGATCTATGCGCTAGAATTCTCGATTTTGCGCTAGAAATCTTGATTTCTACAGTAGGAATTGCTTTGGTCGGTGTGTGCTCGCATTTCAAGGGAGAATTCGCTGTGTGCTTTCTACCCGATTTTTTCGAGTACCAAAACTAATGGTTTTTTGTTCTTCTCTTTTGTATCCAGATTATCGAATCGAGAGTGTGAGGCTTCTTCCAAGAGGGCAATTGTTCTAGAATGTTTGGAGGTGGATACAGAAAAGACGATGGATTGCCTGCTGTAAGCACTGCGAATATTTTCTCTGCGCTTGAGCGAAAATCCAGCAAGAAGAAGTTGGACAAGCATGCATTGCAAAGCAGCCAGAGTAAGCAGCAGGAGGACGCTGGCCAGTTTTGGGTGCCAAGTCCGGTTACCGTCAAGTCTTGGGCCGATGTCGAGGACGACGACGATTACTTTGCGACCACCGCACCGCTGCCAGCGATCTGGGGCCAGACAACAACAAAGTCCTCGCAGGAACCCTCCGTGAACCATGACTTGAATCACTTGGAGGTAACCATCTTTTCTCGTGGTTCTCCCCTCTCTTTCTTTTCTTCTTCTTCCTGATGGTACGCTTGTTTCTTGGACAGGATTCCGAGGTTGACGAGGATTTTGACGATGATGCCGACGAAGAGGTCGAAGAAGAGAAAAGCGAGGAAGCCGGTGTCGTGAGTTCAGGACAAGCTGAGCAACGTCCTCAAACTCCCACGGTACTTCGCGAGCTGGACAAGCAGCTCTCCAAGAAGGAGATCAAGAAGAAGGAATTGGCGGAGCTTGCGGCAGTCCTGGCCGAGTTTGGCGTTTCCACGGAGGAGACGAAGAAAGAAGCGAAGAACGGTACGTAACGAAATAACTCGCTTCCTTCCTTCTCTTCTCGGGCTTACCGGCTTTTAACTTCCAGAAGACGACGAGGATGCCGTTCCGAGCAACGACGGCGACGCTGCAAACAACGAGGCGGAGAGGAAGATCGCGAAGAAGAAGAAGCCCAAGAAGGAGAAGACCGCTCCTGCCGTGCCCGTGATCATGGAGGAGATCGAATCGAACGTGACGGCGGTCGCGGAGCCGATGGACGTTCTCATCAAGAAGAAGCTGGTGGCGGGCAAAAAGAAGAAATCCGTCAAGGAGAACAGCTCCGCCGCCACGAGCAAAGTCGCCGCCGAGGCCGCCGCTCGAGCTGCAAAGCTGGCCGCCGCCAAGAAGAAGGAGAAGAGCCACTACAACCAGCAGCCAGCTCGTTGATTGCCGCCATGGATCTCGATCGCTTTCCATCCAGCAAGCTCCGGGACGCGAGAAAGAAAGATCACAAAGACAATGTTCTACCATCATTATATTATAAAGTCGTGTTCTTTGCCTATTGGCTGAATCTCTTTCGTGTCCTCTTCGTCTACAACGATCAAAAACTTGGAACTAACTTGCGTGAGCTCTTCGTCTGCACGATCAAAGTAGCAAGTATCCTAAACTCGAAGCTAACTTGCGTGTCCTTGTCGTCTACACGATCAAAATCAGAGGACCAACGATCAAAATCTTCGCAGACACGAAACAAAGGATAATACTTGAAGAAACAAACGATCTTACAAGGAAAAATTGCGTGATAAGACTGGATTACAATGAACTATCGCGTTTAAATCTTCTTCTTCTTCGAAAGATGAATGGAGGCATGTTCCAATATCTCAGAACAGAAACGCTGCAGCGTTTTTGGACAAATAGCAGTGGTATGAGTAGCCATTTTTTGGTGTGTTTTTTTTCTCTTTTTGTTTGAGAAATCAGCAAAGAATCGTACCTTTGTTTGCAGTTCGTTGTCATCTTGCCAAAAGCGAATCTTATGATGGCAGCAACCACACAGACTTTTGAATGAATCGCCAGGAACGGAAGCCATGGATGGATTCATCACGAAGCCTGGAACCTGGAACCCAACAGCAGCAAGCAAGCAAAAAAGAATAGAAGCCAAGAGAAAGAATCGAGAAGATAAGAAAGAGCAGAAAATCAACCACGAGAAACTTACCCGCAGCGCAGCGAGTAAAATGTGTTCTTGAGAGGCTTCTTCTTTCCGACTGAAAACAACAGTTACTAGAAACGAAGAAAAGGAGAAGAAAGAATCTGCAGAAACGGGACGCACACGTAAGTGAGCAACAGAGAAAGGAGAAAAATCGAAGCTTTCCATCGATCGAGGACTGAGCGAGCAGAGAAATGAGGGACGCAAATTTGTAGCTGAGGGGAATGAAGCCTGGTCCGACACAACACGATCTCCAGATCAAACTGTGATGCTTGTTTCTCAACTTTGCGATTTGATCAGATCTCGGCGATGCTGTCTCGAGCCAGGCAGCACTCCCCGCAACATAAACCTCTTTGCTTCATCTTTCGCTCTAGAGTCTAATGTCTCGCTCGAACGATCGACTGCAAGATGTGGGAGAGCTTCTCTTTTTCCCTTCCTGGAAAGGATGATCCAGATCTACGTGCTGCTGCCATTCACATCGCAGTGGATCGAATCGATCGATTAAATTACAGTGACCCAGCAAACAATTGCAGCGGGATGGAGAGGACTGAAGAGAGGAAGGAAAAAACGACTTCTTCTCAGGAAGAAAGTCAAGGAAAAGAGGAGCGAGCGAGCGAGCGAGGGAGAAATGGTCTGTCCGGCCACAAGCTTTTATAGAAGAAGATTCAAGAAGGAAGGCACGCCAGTAACAATCAATCCTGGATCATAGAATAGATGGGTCAGCTGCCCCTAAAAACCTATCGATTTTTCTCACACACTCCACTCTCTCTCCGTGCTGCGCGAGCATTCATCCCACTGCTCCAGCGAAAAAAAAAATTGACACTCCACACATCCACAACCAAGACGAAGAAGAGGAGAAAGAAAGAATTCTTCCACTCGTTTTGTCGCTACTTTTAGTTTTGCCCTAAAAAACACTCACAGACGGAATCAGCGTCACGTCACCGCCAAGTTGACGGCGCCGCTAACTTTGGCGCCCCTCGTACGGAAGCCCTGTCATTGGCGCATTATTACTTCCGTTGCCCTGTCTCGCCTAAATTTTTTCTTTTCTACGTGCTCCTCAACATTGTTATTTGTTTCCTGCCGTACAATGATTTTCCAACCATATCTATTTGGGCCAGGGCCTGGCCAGCCATCTGAATTTGGGCCAGGCAGGGCCGACGTGGCAGGGGCAACCACGTGCGTGCATTTAATGGGCCTAGAGCGGTCATAAATAGGCCCATTGTCCCAAATGCATGGCATGGGCCACATTTCTTCCTCCTTGTACTGGGTGGAAAAAAACTTGGAACCTCTGTCCAACATGGACTAGTACTACCACTATTACTACTACTACCACAAATTCACTCATCCATCAAAACCATCCAGCCAAGCAAAGAACTTAAAATTCTGGTTTGACTAACACTCAAGCTTATGAGTGTGTATGATTCAACATACTTGTATCAAGCCCTGTATGTACATTGGTAGACAAATCAAACAAACCCTCTAAGTACACAATTGCAACTGGGTGGTGTTTAGGGTTTGAAGATGGAATATTCTTTGCCTATACTACCACTCACCTGACCAGGTGGTTGCTCCATTGGGCATTGGAGATGGATTTATGGCCACCGTACAAGCTACACACACCCCTAGCAAAATTTTCTAGGTCCTCTTAAATATACTACTGGCTTGTCAAGTGTCTTATAGTTTAGTTATAGTTTAGTAGAGCTGTTGTTCTAATAGTATTTTTTTGGATTTGATTATCGATCTCAAGTTTGGGATCAGCAAGATCTAAGCATCAGCAAGCGATCACCATAGTGTCGAGTCTTTATTTTGCAAGTATACACTGTTGTATGGCCTACGTAACGCGTAGGTGGTACAGCCCTAATGTCACCGACATTGCCCCCCGAAAAACATCTCCAGCTCCCGATTTAAGGATCACACCTTACCAAGCACGAGCAGCAGTGAGCGCAGTAGTAGCAGCAGCAGAGAAGCATTGAGTTTGAGACGTCTCTCTCATGTCATTTAAGTAGAAAAAAGAGAGGGTTTTATTTTTTCTTTAAAGAAGACGAAGACCAAGAAACAAAACAAGTTAAATTCAAGGAGATTCAGTTGCTCTACGATCACGGATCTCAAAAGATTCCCCCGCTGTTTTAAAAATACGCTGCTCTTTCAAGTCTTTGTCCGTGCTTGTAAAAGTTGCAGGCAAGCTGTGTGTTTTACCTCGTAAGTAGCCACCAAAGTCAAACAAGCAAAGCCAGCCAATGTGATACACATCGTATCAAGAAAATGCCCGCCACCTTTTCCTCTGTCTCTCTTTGCTTCGTTTTGTGTGTAGTTTTTGTATCGTTTTGCAAGGGAAAGAAGAGCGCCCATGAAGGAATTTCCTTCCTGGTGTAGATGAAACACGAAATCCGGCTGTGTACAAGTCAAACGCCAATCACAGAGAGTAAACTATGTTGTCTCGAGACCCGATCCCCAAGATAAGAAATGTTAGGACTACGCGTCATCACCAAGTTGGGAGAGAAAACTATAATTTATAGATGATCCTGATACTGCTCATGAAAAAGAGTTCCATTTCTCCACTAAGATTTCAATTGTCTCACATGTGATGTGCTGAGGATCTATGCAAGTGCACAATGTGGAGGAGATTCTTGCAAATCTATCGAGCACTTGCGATCTACTGGAGGGAAAGGTCCTCCACTTTCAGATCGAGAGAAGCCCGCATTGCCATGACAGATTGGTGGCCAACTTTCTTGTCCAAATGTACGGCAGATGCGGTAGCCTCGAAGACGCTCGGAAAGTTTTTGACACCCTTAGCAATCCCAACGTTTTCTCCTGGACAATGCTCATCAAAGCATATGCCCAAAACGGGCATCTTGAAGGTGCACGAAGCATATTTGATGCGATGCCTATCCGAGATCTTGTCGCATGGAACACCATGATAAAACTTTATACAGACAATTTTCGTTTGGATTCGGCTAGAACAATGTTCAACCTTATGCCGCAAAGGGACGTTGTCTCCTGGAACTCCATGATCAAAGCAAATGCCCAATCCGGACATGTGGATAAGGCTAAAGATGTATTTGATTCCATGCCGGAACACAATTTGATCTCGTGGAACTCGGTTCTCGCCACACTTGCTCAAGCTGGAAGAGAAGAAGCAGCGCAGGATGTGTTTGATCAAATGCAACTTCACGACCTAGTCTCGTGGACTGCGCTGCTCGTCGCATATACTCAAGCCGGGAATCTCCTTGTCGCAAAGTCAACGTTTGATAAAACGCCAGAACAAAACACAGTCTC